AGCAGCACAAGAAACACTTTGATCCTTTCTATAAAATTGTTATGATCAGTTATGCAAAGAACTGCTGAAAGAAAGTAGCACAGAACTGTGAACGTGATATCTCAGTAATATTGTGAGGGAATTTCTTTGAATTCGGCACAAATATTCACTTGGACTCAAAAATAAAATGATTTTGAATACATTTTGATGGTCAAAGGTCAAAGGTCAAGGTCTCAGTGAACTCACAAAACACGACTTAGGCCTTGTGAACACAATATTCCGGGAACTCCTCCATGGAATCTCTTCAAATTTGGCATAAATGTTCTCTTGGACTCAAGGATGAACTGATTAGATTTTGGTTGTCAAAGGTCAAAGGTCAAGGTCACTTTTATAGCCCAAAACCTGTTTTAGCCATAGCTTGAGAATTCACATAGCAAATATGACAACATTTCACACAAATGGTTAATATTTTATGTGATTCTGGATAAACAGCGATGTAACCTGAAACTAGTGTGTGGCAAAGCTTACTAGAAGGTCGTTGTCTCTTTCAGGGCCAGGCAGTGTTTCCTTTGTACAGTGCAGGGGTCTGCGTGGCAGGAAACTGTCGCTCTTGTCCCTGCACCTACCGGACGCTTCTCTCCCTACGTACATTTATAAGCAGCAACTCTCTGGGATCTGCTGGATTTTGGCTGTTGGGGCCCGGAGCTACGTTGGGAAGTTCATATGGACCCACCAATACACGTCTCCGTTGTCATCTTGGTGAGTAAAAGAGTTACACGCATCATGGTTTATCTGCATTTATCTGCATCTGACTCTTCTAGTCAAAATCTACTGACTCATGCTTTTTATTTCACACATAAAACTGGAATTTGTTGCAACACACTCGGCAGTAACTGCTCTAGCTTACGTGGAACTCAATGTTATGATCTTAAAATTGATCACATTATAGGGACAAAAATTCAAAACTCTTTTCTGACTTCTAAAATACACAGATTTACCCTCTAAACCCACATGCATCTAATGCACAAAAATTTCCATTCCCCCTCTTTTAGTCAGTTAGGAGGGGAGTATTCCTTCACTGTGATTACCTGCTGCAGTGGTGAGTGCCTTGGCTGTTGGACTGCTTGATTCATATGCCAGTAACACCCGAAATGGGATGCTGTGTGCTAGGCACTTTGCAAAAAAAAAATCACAGAAGGAAATACTCAAAGTAATGTAAATTCAGTATCCAGTATTCAATTCAGTACAGTATGGGATACTTTGTACCTGTTTTGCTGCAACTAATATATCAACGTCAGATTTCTTCTACTTCACCAAAAATGAAAAACTGTGGCATAAAGTAGTACTTTGTGGGTGAAAGCTTACCCTTAGACCATTTTGTAGTAGATCTGTCTGGCTATAATCCTCTGTGTTTTAAACACACACAGTACTGGATTGCATGCCCTTCTTAGCTGGGTGAAAACATAATATTCTGTAACAAAAGTTTAAAAATGTACTTTGCTTTTGTAGGTCTGAAGACTCCACCCCTGTGTGAGCTGGTGGTGGGAGGAGAGCCTCAGTGTTGGTCAGAGGGACACTGCCTTCTGGTTGATGACTCGTTTCTTCACACCGTCTCCCACAAGGGTCAGTGAAAAAATAATTTTATTGTAATTTGTGATCATATATAGTATTTCTGGGTGAGTGAAACTTTTACATTTAAAAAATGTAACTACAGTTAAGACAATTGCTAGCACGTTAAATGCGGTAGAAAATAAATGCTGATATCATTAATTTCACTCTTTTGCTCTTATTTGAATTTTTATTATTAGAAATGAAATGCAATGCATAATATTTGTTTACAAAACAGGCAGTGATATTTAAATCTCTTTACTGAAGTATCTTATAACAGACGGTTGCAGTTTTACCTAAAATGGTATCTGTATATTTCTAAAGGGCCTCCAGATACCGGACCCCGCGTCATTTTGAGTGTGGACCTCTGGCATCCAAATGTGGCTGCTGCAGAGAGACAAGCTTTGGACTTCATGTTCAGCCCTGACCTCTGAATTTGCTCCTGCGCTACCAATGGACAACATGCAGGGATGCCTTACCTTAGCCCTGATTGTTGTGGGTCATGCATCTCATTCAAATTGATGGATCACTGTGTGAATTTGCCCTAAGAATTATACAAGCCATTAGCCACGCTTACAAGTGGTGTTGGGTTTATGGTCTACACCAGGAAGTGCCCCATGAATGCATTATTATGGATGATGTTAGACAATACTACATGCCAGACAATTTGGCTGCATACTATAAACTGATATGATTTGAAAGCACAAAGAGATCTAACCTAAGAAGAGCAGATCTGGTGACTATTGTAAATCTTACAATAACATAAAAAGTATCTTGACATCATATACTATGCTAGTGAATGCTATTTGCATGTGAAACCTATCTGTCATGATAACTGGACTTCAAGCTGCTGATGCATGTGCTAATATGCCTTCAGGACAAGAGGCCATAATATATTTTGAAATTTATGTAGATTACCTATGGTTCAACCAAAAAACTGTGAAAACATGAAAATCATATAAATGTAAAATTTCAATTTATTTCTATTTTCCAAAATGAATGCCAAAATATATAAACTTTCACATACTGTGGTTAATCTTTCCCTTCTTATTACTATCCTCTGTGTATGCTTGTATGTTTCTATCTATAAATATATTTTTCTTTGTTTAGTATTATAATTGGTGGATTGTTAGTGGTTTACATATTATATGACATGCATATATCAGGGTTTTTGTCAGTTCCATTTTTTTCTTGGAATCCAAATAACAAATAAATAACAAAGAAATAAATCAGTATTGACTCTGTGTATACATAAATGTTATGAACAGCACTCAGACTGAAATGTCTTAAAAAGAAAGAAAAATGTAACAATACATTAGTAAATGCAAGGCATAATCGTGGATTGATCATTTTCAAAGGAGTAATACACTCTTATTGATGAAGTAGGCATAGAGAACAGCTGATTGTTTTGTAAGATACATGATGAACTTATATGGGGAAACACATATATTATTTTTATTAGAAAAAAAATGCAAAATTGACTGCTTCCTGTGTTAAAAAAGAAAAAAGAAAATGTAAATGTATTAAATGTATGTGAATTACTTAAAAACAATAAGTCTGTAGACTCAATGAAAATAACTTTTGATTATAATCCACTAAAACACCATTTTGAAAATACATTCTTCTTCATCAAGCTCTCACAGCTCTTTTTTTGGTTACTTTTTTTCAGTCAGTAGATGAGAATTACTGCAGTGATTTTGTCTTATCTGCCATCTGTTCCTCTGAGGGTCCCATGATGAGGATTACAGAGACTGAACTAATCCACCCCATGAGACAGATTATTCCTCAGATTGTTTATATGTACTCCTATGTACATGCATGTTGTTAAATGATGTATGATTTGTTCAACACTGGACATATACTCTATGAGCTGTTCGGATTTAATTTGAGGGAAAATATTTGATTGTTAAATTCATGAGCAAATAAAATAACAACTCAATCACCCGATCATCACAAGTCAAGGTTATGCACCTTGCTGTGTTACAGTGATTTTTGATTGTAATAATGGCACCTGCAGATCCAAAGCATGATGTTTTATATCTTATGCTAATACTGGTCCATAAATAATTTCATCAAACAATATTTAATGTTTTCCCTGGGATTGTATGCCTATATTTGCTATGTATGGATATATTTGGCTTTGTTGCTATAGCCTTAAAAGACCAGCACGTTCATTTGAAAGACAAATATAGCTATTGTCACACTCAACAATTTTCATGTGGTTCTTTTGTTATGCAACAGCTTTAGCAACATCAGTGGGATTATTTTCAACAAAAGATGCCAAATGAGAAAAGTTGATGGAAATTAAATTTGGTATTATTACTGGTGGCAATCTGTCATTCAGAAATAATATCAATTATACTTGATACTGAAATGTGGATTCATCTGCTTTGTATACACATTATTCTATTCATTTGTGCTCAGTTAAGTCAACCACAACTCATATTAGTATTAATATTGATTATGAAATTTTATTTTGGAAGGTTTTTCACAGTCAAACGTAATAATACCCCTGCAAAAAATAAAATTGCGTAAGCACACATCATGCAATTAGTATTAGCATATTAGTGCCACGGAAGCTCACACTGCATGCTTGGTGAAAGTGTTGGTGAAAACAGCGATAAAATCTTTCAGGATTATCCTCTGGGAACCTTAAAATATCTATGCCAAAGTAGAAAGCTATCCAGTCTCCTCTGCAGACAGCTTATTATGACTTGTAGTTATGTTTTATGGCGGGAGCCATGGAGGAAATTAGGTGATGTAGCATAGAAAGTGCCAAAGTCCACATTACGTGGAGGTTGGGGTGATTAGCAAAACACAGGACTGCATGTTCATTGTAACCATGAAAATGAAGATCCTCTAACCTTAAGGAAGTACTGGGATCTTTTCAAAAGCCTAACCAACTAGTTTTTTGCACCTAAATTAAACCAAACCAAAATGACTGTTCCATAATGTTAACTCTGTGTTTGTTATTGTTACCATGATAACAAAGGTGCACTACACTATTGGTGCTGGTACTCTCCTATGCGTTGTATCTAAAGGTAGGGACAAGTGACCTATATGGTTGTTTAAGTTTCACCAAGAGAAAACAGTGCTGCTATTCCTTTTGAACAATGACAATGACATGTACACTCAATGCTCTGTAGGACAGGTCTGTGAGATTCAGGGCAAATTAGATAACAACAAACTTGCCAAATTTGCTAATCTAGAAAGTTAATGTTATGACTATCAAGATCTAGACATTAAATTAGAAAAATTTTACATTCATCGATTTTAATAAAAAGAACAAAACATCTTTGTTCACCTAAGATTAATAAACTCGATGATCATGCACGAAACAGATGCCACTTAAATAACAGGGAAATAAAGTAAAGTTATTCATGAGAAGTAGGCTATCATCAGCATAAAGTCCAATAAAATGCATCCTCCCATTCACAGCCATCCATTCATTCTGTTGTCCTCATTTCTGTGACATCATTTTCACAAACTCTGTGAAGAGAATGGACAAAATATTAATTAGCTAAATTCTTATAGATTAATAACAATAAATTTCCATTTCACTGCTGAAAGGACATCCACAGTACATACTTTCTGCTTTGGCACTGATTGTAAATATAGGTCAATTTAGCTGTCTAAGCACTTGAGCAATGTTATTCTATTGTGGACTGTCTCAATGGCAAGTTTACATTTTCTATAAAATGTGTAAGTGAACAAACAAATGACAAAAATACATTATTAATAGACCTTTTTCATGGCAGACATTGTGACTTAAGGTAAAAATAATAACATTAAACATGGCTCACATGCTCACAGTTGTGCCAGTGAGCCACACAAGTGAGATAGCCTATTGTTGAGAAAAGTTTTTTTACCTAAGATTTTTTTGAAATAACAAACAACATTTATAAAATTATTTCCTTTTTCAAATAATAAATAAATAATACTTTTTAAAATAATGATTAAATTCTTCAACTTCTGTGTCTCACAGAGCAGTCCTCTTCTAACTCAAAATTAGACAGCAGATGTTATTTTTTGTCGTGTGTGTGTGTGTGTGTGTGTGTGTGTTTGTGTGTTTTTGTCTACTTGTGTCTCACCCTCAAAGTCAACTGTTCCATCCCCATTGTTGTCAGCTTCTCTGACAACTGCATCAATTTCATTTTTGCTGGCTTGTTCACCTAATAACTTTATCATGGCATGTCTCAGCTCATCTGATGTGATAGCCCCATCACCATCTATATCAAACTGTAGGGAAGGGAAGAAGAAAACAAAATTTTGCAAAGCCTTTGGATACATATTGCAATAACAATGCAATGCTGTAAACTTGAAGTTTTAGCTTTGACAGTATATTCTTCGAATATCCACCATGGGGTGCCAAAGACTAAAGAGAGAGGAAGGGTATGTTGAGCTCACCTCTCTGAAAGCGTCCTTAAGTTCCTTCAACCCAATCATCCCTGCAGTTTCAGCCACAAGCTTGGGGGTCATTAGTTCCACAAAATCTTCAAAATCCACCCGTCCCCCCACTGTGATAAGACAGATGTCATAGCTAATAGAACTACAGTATAAGCAGGCAGTAATCAGAAAACAGCTTTCTCCAGTCATTTATCTTCTTTGTTTCAAATTATCAACTTGAAAATGTCAGTGGATTGAAATACTTGCAAAACATAGTGTTCTATCAGGTAAGCAAATGTCTACAGGTTCATATTTAATTTTTAAATATAATAATTAAATATATGATAACATGTGCTTTGCTGTAAAATTTGCTACTGATGTGGAGTGAGACCATAAATTCATGTTGTTGCTCCTACCCCCTTGTTTTTACACTTGACAAGTTTCTTTCAAGATAGAACATGCAAATAAAGAGCTCAGGGGACACAGCTTGTGAGACACATTTCCTGAAACTGTCAGAACAATAAATACTCATTTACAGCAAGCAACAGCTTGTCAGATCAATGTCTTAATGCCTTTTATTTTCAATCATTTAATTTTTAAGCAGAATTATGAATGTTTTTTAATATTTTCTCAGTAAAAACGTGAATACCCTACAGTGATTATTTCTACATGAATAAGAAATATTCATCTTTTTATGTATTTCTTTATGTGGGTCAGGTTACATCACCAGTCTTGAAGAAACCATACATTAAACTATGCATTAGACTTTGATAACATATTAAAATGAATGCATGAATGAATAAATGAATGAATCAAATGCTATATTCCTAATACATATTATTACATATGGTATGCTTTACAAGAGTCCGAGCACAACAGGTAATAAATAACTTTTCTTTTCTCTAACACTGTTGCTCTAACATGCCTGTACAATAACACCAATTAAAATAATGTTTTTCATTTTCATTTTTCATCAAGGTCCACTCCAACATGTTGTAATAAAGCATTAAGTGTGCATTTTGCTTCAACCTCATTTGAAGACATTACTCACAATTCATGTTGATGTTCTGGCTCAGTTCGATCAGCTCCATTTCAGTTGGCATGTAACCCATGGTCCTCATCAGGTTTCCCAAGTCTTTACAGCTTATGAAACCATCCTTGTCTTTGTCAAACTCTACAAAAGCTTCGCGTAACTCTAGAGAGCACACAGAGACATGTGGAACATTGAGAGTGGCATGTGACTAAACTGTGAAAAGGTAAAAAGAATTACACAGCACTCTAACAAGTACATCTTGAAGCATAAAAACAACAATTACCTTCTATCTCATCGTGTGTAAGAGCTCTTGTCTGCAAAATAATGATGATATGGACACAAATATGAAATGATGTTAGTATGCTTTATATACATTAGTTTGCAACAAAATGTCTGTAGTCATCTACTGTATATTGTGTCCCTCTGAAAGATAATGAGCTTGTCAAGCACCAATAGATCCAGAGTTCATAAGTACTACAGATGAAAAATAAAGTCTCCGTGTAAGAAGCACATGCTTGACACACTTGTTGAAATTGTTAGTGTCCCAATTCTATATATGTATGTATGTGTGTGTATATTTTGAACTGTCAGTTTAACTTTAAAAATTGCAAGGAATTGTTTGTCAGACAGAAAATTTGGGTAAAAAAATAGGGGATTAAGTGCAACTCAGGCGTGACAAATGTACAGTTAACATCTGTTTAAATCTGTGATGCACTAATTGTACCTTTGTTCAATATGTCGCATTCTTCCCCCAAAGTGTATCTCTAAACATGTAATATGTACCAGCAACATCCACAATATGCACTATGATAAACATGTATTATTTTAACCCCCCCCCCCCGTAATATTGTAGTATCTGAGGTCTTCATGAAAAAGATGATGTGAATAAAACTCACTTACATTTTTTCATTTATTCCTGAAACACACTGGTTTCAATCAAATCATACATTTTTAAGTAATTTTCAATGGTTAGTATTTTTTTAATCCTCCATGTTTTTAGCTACACTGCTCATAGGTAGTATATATTATACATAAATCAGCCTTAAATTTCAGATTACCACATATTAACATGTGCCGTAGTTTTGTATATTCTATGAACATGGATTGCTGACAATTCCTGAACACATTTCTTTTTGAGCACATCTAACATCTGTAAATGTGTTTTGACATGAGGACTGATACTTGAATTCAGGCGGACTGAGTCTGTGTCATCTCTTAAATCCCTGCTCAAAACATTTTTATACAGTAATTCTACAGCATGTTCATTTTGGGATTACATCAGCGCAGATTTCCTATAAATTTCAGTTGCAGGTCAAAATATTATAGTGATGAATGCTGAATGCCACTATGTAAATATGTTTTTATTTGTATTTTGATTTTGTGCAAATGTAATCTTTGAAATCAGGGACAAAGCACAAAAACTGACTGAGTGCCAAAGCATCCGCCTAATGCACCAGTTAAAAAGTTTGCCCTCCCACCTCTACTCCAGAATGGGGCTAGTCCTTTAAGCTTCTTTTCCCATTAGCTCAAAATAACGAATGAAAATTAAAAATAAAATTAAAAATAACAAAACAATAGAAAAAAAAAACATCAACCAACCAGCAAACAAACAAACACAAAAAAACAATATTTGTTCTATGAATGATCAACAGATTTGTATTTCCTGGAACCAATTAAAAAGAAAACAATGATAATATATATACTAATAATTCATTTGAGACTTTTTAGAATACTCTTAAGCTTAAGACACATAAATAGTCAAAAACTACCATAACACCATCTACTGTAAAACTATAAAACCATAAAACAATACAGACTTACTTGTCTCCTTGTTCCTCCTCTGAGAAAGATGCAGGCTTGTTTAAGACTCATGATGGCAGCCTTTGTTGAGATCCTGAATTACTGTTTGTGAATTATTATTTTTTTCTTCTTAAATGAAATTCACTGTTATATTTTGTTGTATCATCTGGTTTCTTTTTTCAGTGCCAGCATGTGAGTGTGTGTAAACCGTGATCAGTAGTGATCTGCGTATGCCAGAGAGGAGGGATGAGGTCCCTTATGGATTATCTCTGCAGCTTTGGACTAGAAAAGAAAGATAGGCTTAATGCTGCACATATACACAATTTCATATACACAGTCAAAGATTACAGTTGTTTTCAGTAGCTTCTTTTGAAAATAAAGAATGAATGCACCTAAATAAAATAAAATAAAAACATTTTACTGTAAAAACTATTATAATTTGATACTGTTCACTAACGATAAAAATTGCTGTCCCACCACCTCTTTGGATTTCAGTCTTTATGCATTTGGAAAAAGGAAACCCATGTAGAATACATATCTGTGTTTGTGTATTGATTCCAGTTTGTTGACACAGTGTCAGTGACTGAAGCTTTCTATTATCACTAAATGAAATACAACAGATGGGATAGTAGTATTAGAAGGATTGTGACTCACATGCCAGTGCATAATATGTATCATTTGTTTGTTTTTTTAATTAAAAAAACAAAACAAAACAAAAATCTAATAAAATAGGAGCATTGTTTTACAGCTATAGGTTGTGATGATAATTTAACTTTAACCTAAATGAATGGATTTGTCAGAATGGTCAATCTCAGCATGCAAGTTATCTGATTATTAAAGACTTGCAGCCGTTCTAATGCTTGTTCACTGTAATTATTAAATTATATATTTTCAGCCTGTTACATAACCATATATGCCAGAAAATTAAAGGTTCTGTGTGACTTAAGAAGATATTCTCAAATGTACACGCAAGCATCACATTTGTAGCTGATCTATTTGCTGTTGTGCATGACAAACCCATAAAAAGAGCACATGACCAGTCTGATTACACAAAAACAACATATTCAGTGAAAATTAATTTCAAATGTAGTGAATTTGGTCTGGCTGTATATGGTGTATGTGAACAGGATCTGCATTAACTGACATCATGAGCAGAATGTCAGATAATACCATGAAATCACTTTTTCTATCTTTTTACATAACAGCATTGATTCTGGTCATAAACTGTATGTTCACTACATACAGACAGATCAAATTAACCACACATATAAAAACACATTTCTTACATTTACAGACATCGTTTGTAAATAAAAGAGTAAATGTTAATGAAAGTGACATTTCTTCCATAGTTATATCATCATTAAGCTTATATTATAAGCTTACATTTTATAAAATGAATATATTAATAAAATGAAGTGCTGAATAGGTTTTGTCCATTTAAAGAAACTGTCACATATGACTGATATGATTGTGAGAGTTTCAGTAGCTGACAAGGGGTTGAAAAAGATATTTTAATACTGCTATACGATACTATACAAACTATTTTCAGACATGCAAAATGATCTTGGTGAAACTGGAACAACAGAGGAGTCAAGGTAAAAAGGATTAATGATGCACAGCTTTAATTTCACAGAAGGTCAGGACATTTATGGCTGGTTTTAATCATTTAATCATTTTAGCAGGTAAGAATCAAAAGCAAAAAGTGTTGCATGAAGTGTGTCAATGTTTTTCGAGGGAAACCAATGATGAAAAAAAAAGCATAAAATTCTGTGTTACACATTTTTATCTAAAAATATTTGCCCCTCCCCTTTTAAAATCCCAATGCAAATCCAGGCTTTTGAGTGGCTGTACTTCTGTCTTCCCAACTACAAGTCTCAGTGTGAAGCAGCTGAGTTCTCATCTTCAGTCTCATCAAGATGGACAAACTGTCTGTTCTGCTGACAGCGCTCTGTCTGCCCTGTAAGTTGCTTTAGCTATAATAAACATTAAAAAAAATGCATATACTTAATGTTCTGGCATGTAGCCTACTTCTCTTTCATTCCCACCTCTTTCTTTTTATTTCTGGTTCTTTTGTAGGTTTGAATGGCCAGGCACTGGAGTCCATTCCCTCCAGTTCAGTACTGAAAAAGCCTCAGGAAGCCCTCAGTCTGTCCTGCAGGGGAACTGGATTTGATTTCAGTAGCTATGGAATGCACTGGATCAGACAACCTGCAGGAAAAGCACTGGAATGGATGGGGCTTATTTACTACGATGCAAGTAAAACTGTATATGCCAGCAGTTTGCAAGGATGTATAGAAATCACCAGAGAAAACAGCAATAGTATTGTGCATCTGAGACTGTCCAGCCTAAAGCTGGAGGACTCGGCTGTGTACTACTGTGCTAGATACACACTGGTTAAAGTGGGGCGAGAGGCTTTACAAAAACCTCAAATAACCTATGTTTGCAATGATCTACAGGGGGCAGCAGCAGATCAGAAACAGCAACTGTTTGGCATCACACTTACACAAACAAAGGAAAACACACAATGTGAAAGCAGCAGCTGAGGATGTGGTTTACGACTTCCTCATTCTTTGGCTTCTTACCAACCTGTGCTTTTCTACAGCAATTTAGTGGTTAATAATATTCCCATCAGGCATGAATGAAACATTTGTTCTGTTATAATTCAACTGCCAGAAACTATAACTGCTGAATAATGGTTCAAAGGTCAACAATCAAACACATAATGAATGAAAAAAACAGATGATGAATACATAACTGTTTGCAAGATGTAACAATTAGGTCTCATCCAGGAGAGGGAAAACATTTGGCTCTATGTGTTTTTTTCTTTTTAAAGGTTTTATTCACCTCAACTCAAACCTTCCCCTGCCAGGTCTAAAAACTCACAGAAGCTGCAGCACAGATTACAAAGGACTGAGACAAATACGATGAGTTATGAATTGGATTGGAACCAGTCTAACTTCCTTTTATACTCTGCCAATTTCATTCTCTATGCAAAGTGAACTTCCTCACAGTCTGCTATAAAGACTTGATATCATACTATCAGTTACAACAGAAGAAGAGAAGCTCCCATCAGATCACCTTCAATGACGACCATGTTTTCTGTAGCTCTGCTGCTGCTGCTGGCTGCTGGATCCTGTGAGTCTCACCGAGAAAGAGAAACAGGCAGTTTGATCACAGCACACTGACCGTTATTACACTGAGTTAATATTCAACATGCTTTCCTCCACAGGTGTGAAGTGTGAACAGTTGACACAGCCAGCCTCTGTGACTGTGCAGCCAGGTCAACGTCTCACCATCACCTGTCAGGTCTCTTATTCTCTTGGCAGCTATCGCACACATTGGATCAGACAGCCTGCAGGGAAAGGACTGGAGTGGATTGGCGGCAAATATACTGGAGATTCATACTACAAAGATTCACTAAAGAACAAGTTCAGTATCGACTTAGACTCTTCCGGCAACAGAGTGACTCTAAATGGACAGAATGTGCAGCCTGAAGACACTGCTGTGTATTACTGTGCCAGAGAGTCACAATAACACAAACCATCAGTAGACCTGAACAAAAACCCCTCAGTGCCTGAACACTTGTAACATGAAGCCACCAGAGGAGGAGCCCTCAGACCACTAATGATTTCACACCAGGTCACTGTTATGGTCAAGAGAGAAACAGTATTTAGATTTTATGAATGGTTCTTAATTAAAATTTACAGCAACTGTTTTCATCAGTTTTCATATGCTGACTTTATCATCTCTGAAACATTACTGTATGTTTTCCCAAAGTGAAAATTGAATAACACTATTATACCTTTCAAGTGATGAAATTCAGTTGTGTGATGTTTTTTCTTGTGAATAAACCTTATGAACAATGTCATTCGACCAAAAATCTGTTTTTTTGTCAACTAAAATTCCAAAATTCAACTTCTGAAGACTTTTCTTTCACTGTAGGTTAATAATTTCTAAATTTAACAAAGATTGTCAAGTGCAAACCAGTTCTCTCCTCCCTGTGAGGAGGAGTCAATGCAAAACTCAGATTTCCTCCACCTCTACTTATCTGACTGCAGAGAGGATGACAGAGAACAGTGGACACACAGTTTAACATGATGGACTATAGGACAGGACTGCTGCTTTTAACTCTCTGCTGGGCAGGTGAAGGGATTCACATATCATAATTTTACATAGTTTTTATTTGTCTCACCAGCATATTTGACTTTATGTTTTTATACTCTTATCAGGTGTTGATGGTCAGACTCTGACAGAATCTGAACCAGTGGTTAAAAGGCCTGGAGAATCCCACACACTGACCTGTACAGCCTCTGGATTCACATTGAGTAGCTACCCTATGGACTGGGTCAGACAGGCTCCTGGTAAAGGACTGGAGTGGATCGCTTTTGTGCACACAGGCAGTTCTTCTAAATATTACTCCCAGTCAGTCCAGGGCAGATTCACCATCTCCAGAGATGACTCCAGCAGTAAAGTCTATCTACAGATGAACAGTCTGAAGACCGAGGACACAGCAGTGTATTACTGTGCCCGACACACACAATAACACAAACCATCAGTAGACCTGAACAAAAACCCCTCAGTGCCTGAACACTTGTAACATGAAGCCACCAGAGGAGGAGCCCTCAGACCACTAATGATTTCACACCAGCTCACTGTTACAGTCAAGAGCGAAACAGTATTTAGATTTTGTAAAGAATTGTTAATTTGATTTAACAATAACTGTTTCCATCCATTTATAAAAAAATGAAAAAATGAAATTATTCAAAACTCAAAGGTCAAGGTCACTGTGACCTCACAAAACAAGTTTTTGGCCATAACCCAAATTCATACACTATTTATGACACAATTCAACTCAAATGTATCAGGATAAAATTAAGTGATGACATTTTATATCCAAATGATCAAAGGTCAACTTCACTGTGATGTCATAATGTACGGCAAAAACACCTTTGACTATTATTCAGCTCTGTGGCTCAGGTAGGGGAGATTGTGACCATATTTCCTACAACTCGGCTGGTTGGCTGAGGTGTACAACCGGTATGCCACCTATGCGGTAATTCCAGTATTCAAATGCAACATACAAATAATTAAACAGTGCTACTTTTTAAATAATAATGAATGGAATGATAAATACTTTTTAAATAAAGGTTATGAATGATCTTATGTCAACAATTGTAGGCATTGTTTGAGATAAGAAAAACCCACATCATGTTTTCAAAAGTTATTTGTTATTAGCAGTTCTGGGGTCAATTTTCAATGAATTATTTCATATTTATCTTATTTATCTAATAGGGTTTCTGTGTGAGTAAACCTTGTGAACATTATTATTAGAAAAAAACTGTTTTTAAACAACTAAAATTCAGATATCAAAATTCTGGATTGTTCTCTCTGTTGTACATTATACTTGCCTGAGTTTAGCAAACAAGGTCTCTGATGGACCAAGTCCAAGTCACCTCTCTCCTCCCTGTGAGGAGGAGTCAATGCAAAACTCAAATGTCTTCCACCTCTACTTATCTGACTGCAGAGAGGATGACAGAGAACAGTGGACACACAGTTTAACATGATGGACTATAGGACAGGACTGCTGCTTTTAACTCTCTGCTGGGCAGGTGAAGACTCTTACAAATTTTAATTTTACAAAACATTTATTTATTTCACCAGCCTATTTCAATTGATCTTTTCTTTTTCATATTGACAGGTGTTGATGGTCAGACTCTGACAGAATCTGAACCAGTGGTTAAAAGGCCTGGAGAATCCCACAGACTGACCTGTACAGCCTCTGGATTCACATTCAGCAGCTACCCTATGAACTGGGTCAGACAGGCTCCTGGAAAAGGACTGGAGTGGATCGCTTTTGTGCACACAAGCAGTTCTCATTTCTTTTACTCCCAGTCAGTCCAGGGCAGATTCACCATCTCCAGAGATGACTCCAGCAGTAAAGTCTATCTACAGATGAACAGTCTGAAGACCGAGGACACAGCAGTGTATTACTGCGCCAGAGACACACAGTGAGAGACAGTGATAGCAGGGTCATACAAAAACTACTTCCTTTATTTTCCTCCACCACAGGGAACATTGAGGTTCTTCACTAACACCTTTCTTTTAATATTGATTGTGATTAGTGTTTGTTTGGTGAAACAGGTGAGGAGTGAACAACTGAATGTTTGAGTCTTATTTCAGATAAGTTGACTGAATGTTGAATTCAGTTCCAAACTGCATTGTAAAACAGAAATTAAATAAACTTTGATTATTAGTGGTTTTCCTTGGATCTATTGTTTATTGATAAAATAATGAGAATAATTAAGTCTTTGATAAAAATAAAAAAAGGTCACATTTCACTTTCTCATTGTTCATTTCTTTCTATTATTATGGTAAAACTTTAAAACTGTACTTGTCTTCCTGAAAGTGATAAATGAATAAATATTTTGATGCTTCCATATGATTTGGGAATTTGTCTCTCTTTCTCACACACGCACGCACGCACGCACGCACGCACGCGCGCGCGCACGCACGCACACACACACACACACACACACACACACACACACACACACACACACACACGGCAGACAGAGTGCCTAACCCTGATCCTAAAAACCAAGTTTAGATTAACCCTAACTGAGTATCTAAACCCGGGGTATCCAGCATTTTGGTCCCTAAAAAGGTATCGGACCCAACGAGAATAGTGGGCGTTTTTTGGAGATGGTTAATATCTGACCCATCACCTGTCAGGTCTCTTTTATTTCTTAGCTTCACAACAGCTTAGATCAGATAAACTAGATGGAGAAGACTGGAGTGGATTGGAAAAAGTAGTTTTGATTGGAGAACCAACTACAAAGATTCACTAAAATGAAATTAAAATTACAATATGTAAAGCAAAGATGTCTTCCTGGTAAGCTTTCACTCTGCAGATAATTTAACACCAAACAGACTCTTCTATTGGCTCCAGTTAGACCAACACTGATGCTTCATGTGTTTGATTCTATGCAAACTCAGTGACCTTCCTTGTTACTCAGCTATAAAAACTTCAGATCAGACTGTCAGTGGAGTTCACAGCTCGTCAGCTTCACCATAAACCATGTTTTCTGTAGCTCTGCTGCTGCTGTTGGCAGCTGGATCCTGTGAGTCTCTCTGGATTAGTCATAGTCAACATTTCTTCTCTTGCTGGATAACTTGATCATTTATAACAAAACATTGTCTTTTTTTTTTTTAACAGGTGTGAAGTGTGAACAGTTGACACAGCCAGCCTTTGTGACTGTGCAGCCAGGTCAACGTCTCACCATCACCTGTCAGGTTTCTTATTCTGTTAGTGACTACTACACAGCTTGGATCAGACAGCCTGCAGGGAAAGCACTGGAGTGGATTGGAAGCGCTGCTGCTGGATCAACAACATACTACAAAGATTCACTAAAGAACAAATTCAGTATTGAAACAGACTCTTCCAGCAACAGAGTGACTCTAAATGGACAGAATGTGCAGCCTGAAGACACTGCTGTGTATTACTGTGCCAGAGACACACAATAACACAAACCATCAGTAGACCTGAACAAAAACCCCTCAGTGCCTGAACACTTGTAACATGAAGCCACCAGAGGAGGAGCCCTCAGACCACTAATGATTTCACACCGGGTCACTGTTACAGTGAGGAGAGAAACAGTGTTTAGATTTTATAAATGGTTCTTAATTAAATTTTACAGCAACTTTTTTCATTAATTCAAATATGCTGACTTTATAATATCTGAAATATAACTGTACATTTACCAAAGGTGAAAACTGAATAACACTATTACACCTTTCAAGTGATGAAATTCATCCAGCTGAGAACCTGGTTTTAAAAAGGTCATAATCCAACAAGACATGGATCTTCACAAAGTGTCTCTTCCATAAAATCAATATTTAAAAAACAAAAAATATTCTCTCAATCACAACTGCACTAGTTACTGAATCAGTATCATGAAACTTTTACAAGTTTTCAGTTGTGTGATGTTTTGTCTTGTGAATAAACCTTATGAACAATGTCATTGGACCAAAAATCAATTTTTAACAACTAAAATTCCAATAATAATATTAAACGTCTGAAGACTTTTCTCTCACTGTAGAATAATATTTTATAAATATAAAAAAGAAAGTCAAATGCAAACCAGTTCTCTCCTCCCTGTGAGGAGGAGTCAATGCAAAACTCAGATGTCTTCCACCTCTACTTATCTGACTGCAGAGAGGATGACTGAGAACAGTGGACACACAGTTTAACATGATGGACTATAGGACAGGACTGCTGCTTTTAACTCTCTGCTGGGCAGGTGAAGAGTTTCTCTGATCCTGAGTTGAAGTTGTCTTTAAAACTTTGAAGCATTTAATCAACTTCCCAGTTATCTATTTATTTTTTTGTTACAGGTGTTGATGGTCAGACTCTGACAGAATCTGAACCAGTGGTTAAAAGACCTGGAGAATCCCACAGACTGACCTGTACAGGCTCTGGATTCACATTCAGCAGCTACGATATGCACTGGATCAGACAGGCTCCTGGTAAAGGACTGGAGTGGATTGCCTGGCATGGCACTGACAGCAGCAAATCCTACTCTCAGTCAGTCCAAGGCCGGTTTACCATCTCCAGAGACGACAGCAGAGAGCAGGTGTATCTGCAGATGAACAGTCTGAATACTGAAGATTCTGCTGTTTATTATTGTGCTCGAGACTCACAGTGACTGGAGTCGGTTAACCAGCTGTACAATATCCATCAATCCTCATATTTCAGGCTGGTGGAGCCTGAGTGTTAAGTGTTATTGTATTATATATATTACGTATCAAATAATTGATTTCACATATCATCTTTATATAACAGTATATGCTTCACATCGCCAATACTTTATCCTTTCACAAGAAATATGACTAAACATTAAACAAGAAAATCTTAAAAAGGAGAATTTGTATAACAATGTGGCTGCTGAAAACTCTTCAAATGCATTATGTTCCTCTGAATAAAGACATATCATTTCTGTAAATGATGTGGATTAAAAATTGATTCATATGATGAGTGAAAAAAAATGTTGTAGTTTCTACTATACAATCACTAGAGGTCAGTCATTGTCAAGTTTCTGTCTCGTCTGTAACTAAGATAAGACACCTTGGTGTTCTCATTGATCTGAAATGACACAACCACAAAGATAAAGGTATAATGTGGTGATAATTACATACAAATGCAAGAACTATACCACAGTTTTCATTTCAGCTAAAGCATGCAGTTTTTTGTTTATTGTCACACAGGTTTAGCAAGTAAATACAGGTAATAAGTAAATATATATAGAAGAATAATTGTTGTATCAAAAAAGTTATGTGCTGACAGATTAATAAATAATTACATGTAGTATGAGGTGTTGACAGTAACACCAAACAGACACTTCTATTGGCTCCAGTTAGACCAACACTGATGCTTCATGTGTTTGATTCTATGCAAACTCAGTGACCTTCCTTGTTACTCAACTATAAAAACTTCAGATCAGACTGCCAGTGGAGTTCACAGCTCGTCAGTTTCTCCATAAACAATGTTTTCTGTAGCTCTGCTGCTGCTGTTGGCAGCTGGATCCTGTGAGTCTCTCTGGATTTGTCATAGTCAACATTTCTTCTCTTGCTGTAGAACTTGATCATTTATAACAAAACATTTTCTTTTTTAACAGGTGTGAAGTGTGAACAGTTGACACAGCCAGCCTCTGTGACTGTGCAGCCAGGTCAACGTCTCACCATCACCTGTCAGGTCTCTTATTCTGTTAGCAGCTACTACACAGCTTGGATCAGACAGCCTGCAGGGAAAGGACTGGAGTGGATTGGATTGAGATATACTGGAGCTTCATCCTACAAAGATTCACTAAAGAACAAATTCAGTATCGACTTAGACTCTTCCAGCAACAGAGTGACTCTAAATGGACAGAATGTGCAGCCTGAAGACACTGCTGTGTATTACTGTGCCAGAGACACACAATAACACAAACCATCAGTAGACCTGAACAAAAACCCCTCAGTGCCTGAACACTTGTAACATGAAGCCACCAGAGGAGGAGCCCTCAGACCACTAATGATTTCACACCAGCTCACTGTTACAGTCAAGAGAGAAACAGTGTTTAGATTTTATAAATGGTTCTTAATTAAATTTTACAGCAACTGTTTTCAACAATTTAAATATGCTGACTTTATAATCTCTGAAATATTACTGTATGTTTCCTGAAGTGAAAACTGAATAACACTATTACACCTTTCAAGTGATGAAATTCATCCAGCTGAGAACCTGGTTTTAAAAAGGTCATAATCCAACAAGACATGGATCTTCACAAAGTGTCTCTTCCATAAAATCAATATTTAAAAAAAAAAAAATATTCTCTCAATCACAACTGCACTAGTTACTGAATCAGTATCATGAAACTTTTACAAGTTTTCAGTTGTGTGATGTTTTGTCTTGTGAATAAACCTTATGAACAATGTCATTGGACCAAAAATCAATTTTTAACAACTAAAATTCCAATAATAATATTAAACGTCTGAAGACTTTTCTCTCACTGTAGAATAATATTTTATAAATATAAAAAAGAAAGTCAAATGCAAACCAGTTCTCTCCTCCCTGTGAGGAGGAGTCAATGCAAAACTCAGATGTCTTCCACCTCTACTTATCTGACTGCAGAGAGGATGACAGAGAACAGTGGACACACAGTTTAACATGATGGACTATAGGACAGGACTGCTGCTTTTAACTCTCTGCTGGGCAGGTGAAGAGTTTCTCTGATCCTGAGTTGAAGTTGTCTTTAAAACTTTGAAGCATTTAATCAACTTCCCAGCTATTTATTTATTTTTTTTTTTTGTTACAGGTGTTGATGGTCAGACTCTGACAGAATCTGAACCAGTGGTTAAAAGGCCTGGAGAATCCCACAGACTGACCTGTACAGGCTCTGGATTCACATTCAGCAGCTACGATATGCACTGGATCAGACAGGCTCCTGGTAAAGGACTGGAGTGGATTGCCTGGCATGGCACTGACAGCAGCAAATCCTACTCTCAGTCAGTCCAAGGCCGGTTTACCATCTCCAGAGACAACAGCAGAGAGCAGCTGTATCTGCAGATGAACAGTCTGAAGACTGAAGATTCTGCTGTTTATTATTGTGCTCGAGACTCACAGTGACTGGAGTTGGTTGAACAGCTGTACAAAATCCATCAATCCTCATATTTCAGGCTGGTGGAGCCTGAGTGTTAAGTGTTATTGTGTTATATATATTACATATCAAATATTTGATTTACATATTACATCTTTATATAAGAGTATATGCTTCACATCGCCAATACTTTATCCTTTCCTGAGAAATATGACAAAACAAAAGTCCTAATAAGGAGAATTTGTACAACAACGTGGCTGCTGAAAACAAACTTCAAATGCATTATGTTCTTTTGAATAAATACATATAATTTCTGTAAATGATGTGGATTAAAAAGTGATTCATATCATGAGAGTGAAAAAAAATGTTGCAGTTCCAACTATAAAATCAGCAGACGTCAGTCATTGTCAAGTTTCTGAGGCACTATGGTGTTCTCATTGATATGAACTGACGCAACCACACAGATAAAGGTAAAATATGGTGATAATGACAAAAGTAAATCAACTAATGCAGGAACTATACCACAGTTTTCATCTCAGCTAAGGGATGCATTTGTTTGTGTATTGTCACACAGGTTTAGTAAGTAAATACAGATAACAATTAAATAGAGGAATAAATGCTGTAGTAAAAATAGATGTGCTGACACATTAATCTGATGTAGGAGGTGTTGACAGTAACACCAAACAGACTCTTCTATCGGCTCCAGTTAGACCAACACTGACGCTTCATGTGTTTGATTCTATGCAAACTCAGTGACCTTCCTTGTTACTCAGCTATAAAAACTTCAGATCAGACTGTCAGTGGAGTTCACAGCTCGTCAGCTTCACCATAAACCATGTTTTCTGTAGCTCTGCTGCTGCTGTTGGCAGCTGGATCCTGTGAGTCTCTCTGGATTTGTCATAGTCAACATTTCTTCTCTTGCTGTAGAACTTGATCATTTATAACAAAACATTTTCTTTTTTAACAGGTGTGAAGTGTGAACAGTTGACACAGCCAGCCTCTGTGACTGTGCAGCCAGGTCAACGTCTCACCATCACCTGTCAGGTCTCTTATTCTGTTAGCAGCTACTACACAGCTTGGATCAGACAGCCTGCAGGGAAAGGACTGGAGTGGATTGGAATTGCTGCTACTGGATACACAACATACTATAAAAATTCACTAAAGAACAAATTCAGTATTGAAACAGACTCTTCCAGCAAAACAGTGACTCTAAATGGAAAGAATGTGCAGCCTGAAGACACTGCTGTGTATTACTGTGCCAGACACACAATAACACAAACCATCAGTAGACCTGAACAAAAACCCCTCAGTGCCTGAACACTTGTAACATGAAGCCACCAGAGGAGGAGCCCTCAGACCACTAATGATTTCACACCAGCTCACTGTTACAGTCAAGAGGGAAACAGTGTTTAGATTTTACAAATGGTTCTTAATTAAATTTTACAGCAACTGTTTTCAACAATTTAAATATGCTGACTTCATAATCTCTGAAATATTACTGTATGTTTCCCAAAGTGAAAACTGAATAACACTATTACACCTTTCAAGTGATGAAATTCATCCAGCTGAGAACCTGGTTTTAAAAAGGTCATAATCCAACAAGACATGGATCTTTACAAAGTGTCTCTTCCATAAAATCAATATTTAAAAAACAAAGTGTTTAGTTGTGTGATGTTTTTTCTTGTGAATAAACCTTTTGAACAATGTCATTCGACCAATAATCTGTTTTCAACAACTAAAATTCCAATAATGAAATTAAACTTC